AAGCAAAGGAAATCTGAAGTCATCTCTGGGGAATGTGCCTTTACCCTGGGCCCCAGGAGTGCTCACCAATAACTCTCCAAGGACTGCAACCGTTGACAACCCAGCACACCAGGAAAAGAGGCATTCTGGGTGAGAATGAGGTAAATGCGATCAGAACTGGACCCCCAGACATGTGAAATACAAACTGTTAGGTACGACTGAGGGGAGAACGAGTGGACCGTAAGGGGAGACAGAGGCTGAGGATGGAGCCAAGGCCTCTTATAGAGGACAAGGTAGGGAGCTGTGTCTGGTGGCGTGCCAGCAGGATCCTGAGGGGCCCAGGCCCCCTACGGCAGGGGCAGTGTGTGTGCACACGCTCCTCTGGTGGTCCTCCCTCAGTACCTGTGCACACGCTCCTCTGGTGGTCCTTCCTCTCCTTACAAGGCCCTCTGTATGCTTTTGGGGGCACTGACCCCATGGCCTTGTCCAGTCCTAACCAGCTTAGAAGGCGCCCCTCTAAGCATCACAGAGTAGGTGCCTCTCCTCTTACTCCTCACCCTAGAGACAGCATTTCAGCTCATGAGCACTGGCGGCAAGCTCAGCCCCCCCAGAGCATAGCAGAGGGGTGGACAACCCACACTGGAAAAGTAACAGGTACCAGGGACTCATGCCTGTAATTCCAGTTCCTCAGGAGGGACTGAGATGGGAGGACCGAGGTTCACAGTCAGCAAACACATCCTCAACACTCTTCTCTCCAGTTAACGAGCAAAAAAAAGCTGGAAGGAGAGGTGTGGCTTGTGCGGTAGTGCATCAACCTTGAGTGACAAAGCTTGAGGACAGTGCCCAGACTCTGAGTTCAGCCCCAGGACTGGTGGGGGAGGGGAGAGGGTGAGGAGGTAGGTGTGTGGGTGGTATGGGTGGGGCTGTGGGCTTCATGTTCATTGTGTGATTCTTTCCACAGTGGTAGAATAAGGATGAGACATGACTGTTCGGTTCAAACTTTATTTTCCGAAACAGAAAAAAATGAAGTCTGGACCCATGGCAGAAGCCGTGGTTTCCAAGCCCTGAGTGGAAGGTCAGAGCGAGGTCCACATGAGATTACAGCACACCATTCCCTGCCAGGTGTCCTCAGCTCAGGCTGTGGGAATAACCCAGCGCTCCCAGGACTCACGCGGGGGCCGTCGACACCGTCAGCAGCATCTGGTAAGCTAGCTGTTCAAAAGGGGTCATTACTCCGTCAAAATATTCAAGAACACTTCTTCAGGAAACTAAGCCCTTAAGACTCAAGAACATAAAAAGCACAATGCAATTCAAACGTCCTGAGAAGTTTGGGAAATATTCTAAGCGATTAAAGCAGAAAAATTTCCCCAAAGAAAGATAGCTAAGAAAGAAAGGTCATTTTACATTGTCCAGGGTTTATGGGGGGGGAAAAAAGCCACAATTCTAGATACCTCCCAGCCTCATAAAATAGTATATACTATATGTCAGTATATATAACATATATACTGATATATATTATATTTATTATATATAAATAAATACTATATATAGTAATAAAATAAAATAGTAAATAAGAACTAAAAAATTTAAAAAAGTAAATAAAGCTTTTAGTTGCCTACTAATGAATCTTTCCATTTACAGAATTTTAAAAAACAGGAAACAAATATTTTTGTATTGCTTTTTAGTGTAAAAATGGCATTGTTGTTTTATAAATAGTACCAAAAGTTTTGACTATGATATATTCTACTTTGTGAGTTGTACTTTAATGTATATGGACTGAATTTTTAAACTACGGTTTAAAATCCATGAATGGGTCTACAATTTGTCCCTGTGTGTGTCCACTGCCCCATTACAGGCTTATGCTTTCCACCCCCCCCCCCCCATCCACCCTCCCCATGCACGTCAAATTTCACACTTTTTTGTGTGTGGAATAATGATTTAATGAGGCCTGATATTTTTATTTTTGTCATTGTGAATATAGTTAAGAGACAAAAAATAGCACAAGATAGTTTTATTTAACCAGAGAAGTCATTGGGCCATAATGGACAGGGAAAAGGCCTATAGAATCCTGGTGTCTCAGATGCAAGCTACAAAAATCTGTATTTGCTGCTCTTTAGTTACATGAACACATTCACCTCAAAGAGTCTACAAAGTGCCAGCTGGAGCAATGTCCTCAACTTCAACTTAAAAAAAAAAAAGAGACATTCTCTGCAGAGCCACTATATACAGAGGGCGGGACACGAGTGTGCCCGGGAGAGGTGTATGCCAGGGAGGGGGGGCGGTGCGGACTGTGTGCTCAGTGCAGTGTCCTTAGTATGCTCAAGCTGAGATTTCTTTCCTAGGGTCAATGGCTGTGCCCTTGCTGACATCTTTATGTACTTTTCACAGACCAATCTGTGCAATAAAATAAATCATGCTTTTGGAAGGTCTGCAGTTAACTGAATGCCCAGAAAATTCTAGAAGCAGGGAATAGAATTCTCACTGGCTCCAAACCATGGACCACCTACATCCCCGCCTCCCTCGGCCTGAACCACACTCAACCACGCCCGCTGCCCACGCCCTGACTACACATAACCACATCTGCTTCCCATAGCCCTGACCACACAAACACACGTGCTCCCCGCCCTGACCACACACAACCACGCCCGCTTCCAACAGCCCGAACTACTACACACACCTTCGCTAGCTTCCCACCACATGACCACACATAACCACACCCGCTTCCCATGGCCCTGAACACACACAACCTCATCCACTTCCCCTGGCCCTGAGCACACGCTACCACGCCCGCTTCCCACAGCCTTGACCACACCCAACCACACCTGGTTCCCACGGCCCACCTGACCTCTCAGTTATTTGTCCCCTTTTTTATAATTGTGAGAAATTAATTTCTCTTCATTTGGTTTCCTGAGTCCATATAAAAGAACTTCACATTTGACTGTTTCCTCAGGGAACACTTAGCCATGCCAGCAATATCGTATATATTTGCTTTGAATTTCTCAGGGCTCAGTGACCTTTCCTAGGGTACACATGTAAAATGCTCCTTGATGGGGGCAGGTGAGGGGAGAGAAAAGAGAGTGGACAGAGAGAGAGAGGGGGAAAGAGAGAATGAATGACGGTCTCCCTGACACGAGGGACGGGGCTGGGTGTGAGCTTTAGCGTTGCTTGGTTGGAGTTACGTTGTGCAGTGAATGAAATCTGTCTTCAAAAATGAGTGACTGGAAGAAGCAAAGACGCTCTGCACAGGCAGAAATACGGATAACAGAAGCAAAAGAGAGAGTTCAGGGAGCTAAGCAGAGAAGGAGCCAGTGCTCCTCCTGATGCCAGTCAATCCCAGGAGAAAGAACACCACATCAGGGCATCTCCATCATGAGTAGCTCTTACTGACCTAAAGGACGCGCTGTCCCTCCTGGGACCGACGCAGATGCACAGCAAGCCACAGGAGGCCACGACACTAAACTCTTGCAGATTAAAAGGAACATCAGTTAGACAGGAACCTGCGGCTCATGCCTATAATCCCAGCTATTCAGGCTGACCTGAAGATTGAGGATGGAGGCACGCTAAGTCAGGAGAGTCTAGGAGATGCCCATTGCCAACCAATCATTAGAAAGCTGTAAGTGGAGCTGAGGCTCAGGTAGTACAGCACCACCCTTGAAAAAGAAAAGCTAAGGGACAGTGCCCAGACCCTGAGTTCATAGCCCAGTTCTAGAAGAAAACAATGTAAACCAAGTACCTTAGGGCCCAGCAAACTGCCAGAACCTTAGTTTCTTTCTTATAAACCCTAAGTTCTCCCTTCTAGGTTTGCTGTGACGAGAGAAGTAACACCATTACTCTCACATTTCTGGAGTGAAGAACACTGGAAAAATTCTTGGAAAATACACATCTCCAACAATATGGTACTCCAGCCAAACAAACATGGTAGCACTGCTTCTGACATTGATTCAATTAATAGTTTATCACCCATGCATGCACCAAGAATTGCACACTCATGTCTAAGCCTTATCTATGGAATTTTTTCTACCTTTCAGGCATTAAAATCTCAGAACTATCAAGGAGATGAAGTTGGACTTGGTCAGCTACATCACAATTAATTATACCAACAACAATAAAATCATGAATTACTCATTTATTTGAAGGTTCTTCCTCCCTCCCTCCCTCTTTCGGTTCCTCTGTCCCTTCCTCCTTTCCTTTCTTCTTTCTTTCCTTGTGCCAGTACTGGGGCTTGAACTCAGGGCCTGGTTACTTTCTCTTAGCTTATTCCCTCTGGGGGTGGTGGTGGTGGTAATACCAACCACATTTCAACCTGCAGGTTTTGGCTGGTTCACTGGAGGTAAGAGTCTCATGAACTTTCCTGCCTGAACTGGTTTTGAACTGCACTTCTCAGCTCTTGGGCTCCCCAACAGCTAGAATCACAAGCACGATCCACCAGAACCTGGCCAGTGTTTTCTTTTGTCTGCATGCATATGTAAAATATTTGAATGAAATTTAAACCACTCAATTTCTACAATAGTACAATTTGGAAGGAACATAACACACGTGGCATCACTCTACTAACAGATTCAAGGTCATGCGAGAAATGTTTCTGTCAAATGATGATAGAGATTGCTGTTTCATCCACAAAGCCAAGCTCCATGACCAGGACCACAGGAGGAGACAGGCCGAGCTTCAGTAATTCCAAATCACCAGAACTTCCCCAGCATCCTTATGGCGCCCACAGAACCCACCCCCAGTCCTGTCTTGAGAAGTAGCTGGCTGGCATCATCGCACTTGAACGCATCCATCCCACCACTAGCCCTCGGGAGTGCGGAGAGGAGGCCAAGGCCAGCGTTCACCAGCCATTGGGATCATGGAGAGGAGGCCGAGGCCAGTGTTTACCAGCTGTTGGGATCACGGAGAGGAGGCAGAGGCCAGCTTGCACCTCACCTCCCCGATCATCTGCCTGCTAACTGACAATAGCCGAAAAAACTGAGCATGCATGAATACTTAGTCTAAAAAAACATCAGAAAACACGTGCCACTTACGTTTTGGAGTCATCCCACAGCACGCAGTAGGGGTTCAGAGTACCCTGCAAGGAAGCAGAGAGAAATCAGCATTGCCTGACTGTACACTCGATGCCAGCCATCTTGCCACAGGCCACGGTGAAGATTCTACCGCAATTTTTTTTTTAAAAATCCAAACAAATTTTCATTTTCTTTCTCATACATTTTCGGATTCATCTTTGGAAATCCTATTAAAACAATATATCTCCTCCAATACCATGACCTGTACTGACATCTCCCTGAAAACTGAAAGTGAAGCTTCCCTGTGCCCCTCAGTCTAGATTTTGATGGATTTTCAAATAATTTGCCTTTCATTAAAACTTGGGTTGCTGTATTATTTCAGTTAAGAAGACCCAAATCCCATAGTATTAAATCAGAGTGAAGCACACTGTATTGAGCCATTCATTTATATAATATTTAATGTTTTCTAGAAGAATGAGATGTTGGTATTAATGGTTCACTTCCAGAGTTGGTAGACTTACAATACTTCCTTATATATTTATTTTGGTGTGCTGGAATTAGGACTTGAACTCATTGTGTGGGCACTGTCTCTTAGATAGTTTGCTCCAGGCCAGTCACATACCACTTGAGCTACAGCTCCATTTCTGGCTTTTTGGCGGTTAATTGGAGGTAAGTGTCTCATAGTCCTCTCTTCCCAGGCTTGCTTTCAACTGTGACCCTCAGATGTGAGCCACTAGGATTTGACCACATTAGCCTCATTTTGCCATTTGAAACTAACTTGATGTTGTTTTTAAGTGCAAAAGCTTTACCTATCTACAAATTCTCTCCTACTTCCAAAGGTTTTCTCTTATCCATTGAATGGATCCAGTTGGTCTCAAGCTCACATTCTCCATATTACTCACTTCCGGGAACAGGTATTTTTAAAGTTCTGTTAGAGAAATCATCCAACTTGCTTGGAGCAAAGCCTTGTTACTAATAATCTAAACCAATTCAAGTCCCAGCAGCAATACAATAAAACTGAAAGAAAAATGTAGTGGCAAGCAGATAATAAGCATGCTAACTTATCCAAGTAGATTTAAGAAACATTAAATCCAAGAAAACAAAAGTTTTCAGGTAAATGAAACAGATGGGCTAAAGAAGATTAATTTAGAAAATGCCAACACAATCAGCACTCAAAAATATTGAAATTGCATGTATTTAAAAATCTGAGGTGCCAAGGATGTTTTTGGCAAAACATACACAAAAAGCAAAGAAACAATCCACCTGTCTCGAGTCTACTCAAAATAGTGTAGCTCAACCTGAGTTCAGTGTTTGTAATGAGACAATTTCAAGTATTCTAAAAATTCACCATGGCCCAAATTTTCAAGATATGTTCACTTAAAGTATATTTGCTATTTTATTTTAATTCTTTCTTCTCAGATCAATCAAACTAGGATATTTATTTAATAATAGGATGTATCATCTGCTTGGTCAATACATTGACCAGGTTGAGTTTCTCTTTTCTATTGGTTTGTGTATGTTTTCTGCTTTCTTACTAGTAAAATGGTGTCCTAGCCCTAGCTCTGAATGAGTCTAAAAATGGCATTCATAATTGAATGTATTGCATTCTTTCACAGTTATCTTCCATGTCTTTTCCCCCATGGCGTACTTGAAATACAAAATACTCAGGGCACAGAAGTCAGAAGAGAGATATAGGAAGACAAAATATCATCTAGGAATCTACTCATTCAAGCAAGAATTATATGGTGAATACTGTGCCATGCACTGGTGGCTCATGCCTATAATTCCAGCTACTCAGGAGGCTGAGATCTGAGGATTGAAATTTGAAGCCAGCCCAGGCAGGAAAGACCATAAGAGTCTTATCTCCAATTAACCATCAAAAATCCTGGCATGGAGCCCTGGCTCAAGTGGAAGAACTTTAGCCTTGAGTGGAAAAAGGGACAGCACCTAGGTTTAAGTTCAAATCCTACTATATGAAGGTAGAAAACTATTATGCAGTAAATGGGAATTACACTGCAGGTCCCTGTCCAGATACTGCAATGGGATACTTATTCTCACTGCACAGAACGGGTAGAGATAAAGAAAAGTCATCATAAGGCAAAGATACTGCATGCTGCAGTCACGGGGATCCAGCCACAGTGTGTCCAATGGCTGAGTACATGATTGGCACTTTCATACACTGGGAAAGCTTCTCCAAAAAGGCTTAATCTGAACAAAGATCTGAGTGAATACAGTAGAAGAGACAATAATGAAGTCATTGCTACTACAGTGAATGGTGGCTGAGTCTCTCAAAGCTGATCAGGTGGTTATAGGCCCTGAAAAAGTTCCGTTCCCAAACTGTCTTAACCAGACTTGCCAGCCTCATGATGTCTGAGGTGTTTACTCTGGACCACTCTAGAGCTAGCCGGCGTGCTCATTAAAAGGGGGGTTACAAAGGTTCATTATGCATGGGAATGTGCATTTCAATAGCTATTCCCAGCCGTCATAATTTCTTCCCATGCCACCTTTGAAAAATTATTGCTAAGATAGCAGAAATAATGTGGTAAAAACATTCTAATGCATTATTATTTACTATAGTCACCGTCCCATGTAATCGATCATTCAAGCTCATTCCCGTCTAACTAAAACAGTGAGGGAAGATGGGCATGTTTATTAATGTTTTTTAATCATTCTGCAATTATTATCACTGTGTATCCTTTAAATATTTATAATTATTATGTGTCAATTAAAATGAAATTGCTGGGCACTGGTGGCTCATGCCTGTAATCTAAGCTACTCAGAAGGCTGAGATCTGAGGATTGTGGCTTGAAGCCAGCCCAGGAAGGAAAGTTCCTGAGAGTCTTATCTTCAATTAACCACTAAAAAGCTGGAAATGGAGCTGTGGCTCAATTGGTAGAACACTAGCCTTGAGGACAAAAGCTCAGGGTCAGTGCCCAGGCCTCGAATTCAAGCCCCAGGACCAGCAAAATCAAACAACAACAACAAAAGATACAAAAGGAAAAACCATGGTTACTCTTTAGATTTTATTTAAACTTCCAGATGGTTAATCCTCATATGTCATAATAAATTATTAATATTTTTGTGCAGGTATGGGAGCTTGAACTCAGGCTTAGATGCTGTGTCTTATTGGTTTTTTTTTTCCCCCACTCTATCTCAGATCTCAGCCTCCAGAGTAGGCAAGAGTAAGACACTAGCACCAGGCATGATAAATTATTAATCTGGAAAGGCCGTAATTGTCTTACAACATGCATGGTCCTCTTAAAATAAAAGCAAGCAGAACAAGCAGATGGCACACTGAGGACACAAGAGAAAGGCAGTGATTTCACCTTAACTAACATTTCTCTAGTTCCAACTGTGTGTTGCAGTATCTTTCTCTCCCCCTCCCCACCCATCTGAAAGAGTGATGAGGGAAAGACTATTAAATGGAAACTATATGCCTCTACGCAATTTTCTAAGTCTTAGATAACCAGGTGCATGCTCAATATGTTTTTTTTTACACTTTTTTTAATTGTGAAAATACCATACAGAGGAGTTACCATTACATGGGCAAGGTAATGAGTACATTTCTTATCAAGCTGTTGCCTCCTCCTTTGTTTCCCCTTCCCATCCTTTCCCATCCCCCGCCGAAGTTGTAAAGTTAGTTTTTTTCTACATCTCATTGCTGCAATGGGTGCACCTGTATCCCTATTTAAACAATTTGTCTTTTCTCTTCCCCTTCACAAAGTATACGAACATCAAATACAGTGAAAGCAGGGGTTATACCATGGGGGAGAGACATACAAAGCAACAAAGAAATCATCTTATAAATATGTTAGAAACAATCGCAAGAAAGAAAAAAAAAACATTTGAATCCTTATCTTGGGGTTCATTTCACCTAACATCAACTTATCTTGACCGTTTCTACTTGTCTCAGACATAGACTAGTTATTGCAAATAAGGGAAACCATGGGACCTATGTTTCTTTGGGCCTGGCTTACTGCTCAGTATGTTAACCTCAGCCCCTCCTTCAAACTCCAAACAAAGAAACTAACAAATAATTCCAAACTGCAACAAACGAAACACCCCCAACTAGATCTGTCTGAGCTTATTCTTCCTCATTTCTCCTACGAAGGTTATTAATCATCACATACAACTACAGAAGGCAAATAGATTCTGAGATCCTAGAATATTTCTAACATGAGCGAGCTGCAAAAAGACTGATTCTATCCAGTTTATAATTTCAGTATTATCGGACAAAGAACACATTAAAAAAATCTAAGAAAGTACATGCTAGAGGAACAAAAAAAAGACACCACGAGTTGTAAAATTTTCTATACTTAAACCTATGGCATGTCGCTAAAAGACAGTCAGAAAGGGGCCGTGTGTGGGCACTGGAGGCTCACACCTCCAGCCCTGGCTGCTGGGAGGGCTGAGAGCAACTGGGGCAGAGCAGTTTGCAAGAGGTAGCTCCGGGCCACAGCTGGGTGTGGTGATGCAGAGGATCCCAGTTCCAGGCCAGCCTGGACCTAAGATAACTCCACCCAGCCCCCATGTGCGGGCATTCGGAGCACCCCAGCAGTACAGACACCGTGGAGGAGGGCTGCAGCTCAGGCGGGAGCTGGGGTGGGAAGTGAGACCCAAGGTTTTCTTTTTTCTTTTCTCAGACTATCCTAAAGCTGGTGCTGGAGGAGTGGCTCAGCAGCAAAGCACCTACCTCGCAAGCACAAGGCCCTGAGTTCAAGCCTAGTGGCCTTCTTTCCCCCAAGGGAGGGAATCCTCTCAGGATTGTGTCTTTTAACAGATAAAAAGCTACAGAGTTGCTGAAAATATAATACATTGTCCAATGGAATGAGAAAGCTGAACATATTCTAAAAACTTAATAATTAGAACGTTTTCTGAATATTCTCTAAAGCTATTCTCTACATGATAGTCAACACAGTTCTGTACTTTAGCATTTAACTGAAACATAGAAAGAGCTGTGTCACTGCTTTTGAAGGGAGTGTGTTCAGGACTCTGGAGCACAGGGGATGGTTGAGGATGCACTAGTGTGTCACGCAGGTGTGCAGGTGCCATGCAGATGTGCAGA